TCATGGAAAAAAGTCTCTCCTCTTGATTTTCACCATTTTAACCATTTCAAGTATTAAGAGATGTGTTTATGCGCACGTATGCTAGCCCTCGAGGGAAAAGAAAGAGCTTTTATAGAAAAAGTGAACTCTAGATGTTTTTGTTGATTTCCGGCGGCCATATTGGTGGACAGTTTCTGTCCACCAATATGGCGTCTCCAAACAAAGATCTAAGAAGGTTCGTGAAATGTTTCGGCAAATAACTCAGAAACTGTGGGCCACATAGCCTGCGTAGCTGGCGGTGTTGTGTGGGTGCGAGATTAAAGTTTTGGCGGCGGAGCCGTGTTCCAGAAAAAAGGGAGTAGGGACGAGGCGGTTGGTATTTCTCGCGGCTTCGCCGCTCGTGGTAGCCTCCCACGCAGGCGTTTTTAGGGGAGCTCGTTTTTCATCCCTCCCGACAAACGCCTGCTCAACCGAAGACAACACTCCTTTCCCAAGCTAGGCAGGGACTGTTGTCTTCGGTTGAGCAGGCGTTTGTGGGAAGGGATCTAAAACGAGCCCCCCTAAAAACGCCTGCGTGGGAGGCTACGCTCGTGACGGCTACAGTCGACTGCATTACAACAGCTCCGCCGCCAAATCTCAGTCGACTACTACACAATACCGCCAGCTACGCTGGCTATGGGCCACAAAGACCTGAGATTTCCACAAATTGTTTATGTATTAGTATTTAATAAATTTCATTTCCTTGGCTTCTTCCATTGGACGGTTTCCAATTTATTTCTTTGTGCCGTGTTTATTGCGTGACAGTGAAAACGAACGAAGAATTGAGGAATTTTAGCTCTAACAAGAGAATCTTTTAAAGATTTTTCCTTCCAGTAAGCAACAATTGGGGCATTAGGATATATTTACGCGAGCGTGTTGTTGCCTGTAATAAGATGCCGTATGAACTCAGAAACAGAAAACGAAGGAGGAAGTTCTGTATGTTTCCGATAGCTTGGTATGTGTTCAAAACTGAAAATGGAAGTCGAGTTTCGTATTTCAGTTCTATAATTGAGACTATAAATTAAAAATAAAAGCTCAGCAAGTTATATGACTTTCATTGGTCATTCATGTACCTGAAAATTATTTACTTCATGAAGCCAGAAACGTCACCCTCCGCTTTAGAACAAGGGTAATAGTATACGTAAAACGGAAGCTTGACGTGGCGGAGACGGACGAAACAGAATTTTTCCTTTTTGTTCCCTTTCTCTGTCTTCTTATGTTTCTTTTTACTTGCCAGATTCCGTTATTCTATCGTTTACCTGCTTGCGAAAACGTTTTGAGGTACCGGTAAAACGTCTCAGTTAAGGAAAATCAAGCAAGTTTGTGGGCTGTCGTACACGCAGAGTCTAACCGGCCAAGAGAATTTCTAAGAAAAGTACATTAGCATGTAAATAAAGCTGTTTCAGTAAACGACGCCGATTTCGCCTCGGCCCCGTCATTCTAGCTCTGTTTAACATCTGTAGTTATTTACACTAAGGAATGTAAACAAGCCTTTTGTAACAAACTCAACTTCTATCTCGTTTTTCTATTTTAAACTACACGATATTCTTCCGTTATACCCGACGTTGTTTGCTCCTGTCCCCACGTACTGTAAAGCAAATTGGTCAGTGAAAAGAGAAAGAAGTAATGGTACTACTACCTTCGATTGTCTTCCTTTGATCCTTGCAATACTCCATTGTTTCCTCGTACATGTTCTTCGCTGTTTCAAAAGCGACTTTCCAAGTCCCAGTTTGAACTTGAACGTGAAAAAGCTGGCTCATAATCATGAATTTTTGCGGTTTCGTGTTCTCAGCCTTTCCAATTAGTTTATCCCAAAGTCGTTCTGCTGTTGGCAGACTTCTATTTGTATACTCCTGTGCTATTTCGAAGAGGCAGGGAAACGAAAATTCTTTTGTTTTGACAATCTTCTCCGTAAAGTCCTCGATAACATTTTCTTCCGGGCATGGAAGCTTATCACGAAGCCTAAGGAGCCCATCTACAGCAGGACACTGGTGTTTTTTAACTAGATATTCCATGTTAGCGCTCTTGAGCTTCCTCGCTATAATCAAAAGTTTCTTACGACAAGAGAAGAAGGAGAGGAAAGGGAAAGGCTTCGACGCGTTCTTTTACCGCAGCCGCCGAACACACTCCAGGTGGCAAGTCAAAACCGGTTTCGACTAGTTTTGTTTAATGTGGAATGCTCGTGCCCTGTTGAGACTGTGTGCTGGAAAGTTTTGAGCCCACAGTTATTATCGTTCAAACCGGTTCTGTAAGTTGTGTGGCACGTGACTAAAACGTTGCTGAAGGTTACGAAAATGAGTGATAGAAAACGTCTCGAGGGCCGACAGAGGTCTCTCCCTTTCCTATATTTTTTTTTCTGGCCGTGAGAGACCTCTGCTAGCAGGGTACAGTTGAGCTTACCATGCATGCATCGTCTATCCTTTTGTGAAAACCCGATCTTTAATTATTGCCCTATTAGAATGCTTGGTACGATAAATGATTCTCAGAAAAAGTAGAAGTCGATGATGTAATTGAACAGGGAGATTCCCAAGGAAACGAGTCAACCAAATGCTATTATCTCAGCCCAAGTGATTGTCATGTGGCAGAGTTTTTCTTGGACATGAATATTCTCAACTACCTTCGATTGCAAATTTAGTGCAATTACATGTTTGGACTCGGACATTAGGCACGGTTGCGACAGGAGAGTTGCATCGAAATAGCACTTTCTGTGCACTTTTGAGTATTATTTGTCATTCCAATTTGTAATTTTATGTAATAGAATACTGTGTTTCTGGCTTACGAAAGTATTTTTTTGTCTGCGGGGATGGAAAAGGGCATCAAATATAGCCAAGATCAGTTGATCATAATGCCACTTTTCGAGCATATTTTTAGGCATACCTGCTGTTGTTTTGAGAGTGACACTCAAAAGCATATCAAATGTCCAAATTTTAAAGCATCATGTATCTTACCCTACTTTACATGAGTCGAATCGAATTCGAATTTAGGCCGGAAACCAGTGATAGCGTTGCTGTTTTCTGATCTTGAACTCAAATTCATTTAGGTCGGCTAAACTGATTCGGACGCCGATCTTTATCTTAGCCGAATTAATTATGATAATCATTAATTCAAAGGGGTAAAATAGGCACGTTTTGGTAAACTACGGAAAAATTTGTGAATTCGGTTCGGTTTTTGTGGTGTTTGGCGTTTTTCTCCACAAGCATTTTTTTTAATATATCGCCTGTGGATTCAGAATTTAAGACCCAATTAATACAAGAACGTAACAATAAAAAAATATAAAGTTTTCCTTGTTGTACTAAATGGGAAACGGCAATAAAATGAGCGTACCGTCGGCCTCAGGTTTGTTAATCAGATGACTATTTCGAGCTACCGCCGCAAAATATGGACTCTTTCACGGCCTTTTTTACCTTTGATGTCCGCCTAGTTTAAAGTACCCTTGAGATGGACACGAACATGGCACTTCCCAAACAAATTAAGCTATATAAATTTGAACTGGTATGAATCATGGTTCTTCTCTCTTACGCCAGTTGTTACGTCACATTACCATGGTATCAAAATTTCTGGCCCCGGTTGTTTAAACGTTGGACAACGCTATCCACCGGAGAAATATAATCGCTGTCAAGAGGATAAGTGTTACGAAAACCAATTGCGGTATCCTTTGGATAGTAATTCATCCAGTGGCTTTCGAACAACTGGGGCCTGGATGACAAACTTCATGGACCTTATTCTATTTCATTTAATTACAGTCAAACCAGGTCAAGCGTTCCCGTCGCTAACGAACTAATGAATTCATTCACGGAAAAATGATTTCGTTTGTTGATTCAATAATCCATTCATAAAATGAACAATCCAATATTCATATTTAGCCTCGATTCCATAATCGAATGTTGATTCGATTACTGTTTTTTGAAAAACTACACTTTCCACAAGTTGACCTCAGAATTTTGTTTTTTCCTCTTTTTTTTCTGCGAGTCGAGTGCTGGCGAGTTCTAAAGTTCAAACCCAAACAAACTGTTACATGTACGCCAGTTTGCTGCCAGTAATCAGTGCAACAGACCTAGGCCTGACCTCTTAGAAAACACAACGGTCAAACTAAGGTCAGTGTATGTGTGGTGATTGGTGGATTTCGATCCTCGGCCTTTGTCAGTTTCTCATAGTTTCTTTGCGTTTGCGGTCTGTCTATTCTAGCTGTTATTTTGATTAAAGGCAATGAAAAACGCAATCGTAAACGGCAGGAAAAAGGAAGCAAATACGATTGAACACAACAGACAAGAATAAAGAACAGGTAGATTTTGTTCATAAACCAAATCAACATTTGATTATTGAATCGAGGTACAATTTGACTGTTGGATTATTCATTTTATGAATGGATTATTGAATCAACAAACGAAATCATTTTTCCATTAATGAATTCATTAGTTTGTTAGCGACGGGAACGCTTGACCTGGTTTGACTGTAATTTTTTATCGTGAATGTTGGCAAAATTTCTGGGGTTGAATCCGAAAGGACCGTAGCTATTAAAGTTAAGGAAAATAAAAGTTTTGTATTGTGTTCACGCCGCCGCCGTCGTCCCTAGGGAGCTTAAGCAAAGACGACGACGGCGACGGCAACGAGAACGGCAAAAAAGCAATAGGTTTCGATTGACAAACTGGCAATAAATCTACACGTGCACGCTTTTTTGTACATCTTTTTTTGCCGTCACTGCACGACTACGACGCCGGCCTCCTAATTTCGCGTTCTTGTGGAGGAACTGGGAACACCCATGACAGCGATTTTCTTTTTGTGAATTTAGATACAGTCCTTTAGAATTCAACTCCTGAAAAAAAAAATTGCCAGCATTTGACAAATTTTAAGAGTTCCAGTTTGAAGCAGCCCGGATGATTCGCAGCGGTTGCCGTTCTATGGTCTCGTGACTCCTCTTCTTTCGGATCCTGGGAACGAGGTTGGAAATGCTAAGGGACTGGAAATTAGTGTCCATATCCAAGATGGCGAACCGCACTGTTTCGGACGCTAAAACGGTGAAAGGAACCAATCCCCAATATCTTGTCGAAAAAATCATCCGTTCGCGTATTTATGAGAGTAAATATTGGAAGGAACAATGCTTTGCCCTTTCAGGTAAGCCGTTTGAGTGTTTCAAATTTGTTTTCTTTGTTTTGCCCAACAATGTTGTGCTTTGTGCACAGTTCTGTAAACGTAACCGTTTGCAAGATTTTTTCAGGCTGAGCATTTTGATAACCTCAAAAAACGTTTAGCAGATGCTGTTTTCATTTAAGATGAAGAAAAAAACGAGACGAAAGCTTTCTTGACAACTTAAAAATACCTTAACTAGAGCAAATCTTAGAAACGTTTGTCAGTGTTATGTATCGGTCAAATCGAAGCTCCAACATTCCCCCCCCCCCGGGCATACCCCGGGCATTAGACACCTTTGCCGTCCCGGGGAGGAGGGAATTTGATTAGCAGAGACTTCCAGGGGGTGGGAAATTGGATCCCCGTGTGTTAGGGGTGGGGAATATGAATTGCACCCTCGATTTCATGTGAAATCTTTGGCATGTTGAGCTATCATGGGGGACGCGGTGTTAGAGGATTTTCGTGGAAAAGGTTGTGCCTTTGTGGCCAATTGGTTACGAGGCAAGGGCTTAAACAAGCTTTGTGCCGTATTTGAAGGTATTTAAGTTTTAATAGTTTTAATATTGGATTCAGGTTTTGAATATGAATGTATTAAGTTGTGTTTACAATGAAATACATTACCTATACCGGTGATTCAATACAACAATTAAAAGCTCAACAGAGGTCAATAGCGCTTTCTACTAATGACGTCACAAATTCCTGGTCCCTGCTGTGACTCAGACATTAAACCTGACCAGTGTAAGAGTTTAGTATGGGAAAGACTGTGATTGCGAGATGCGGTTCGCTAGTCCAATCCACAAAAATGACCCTTGCTCGCCAACGAGTCCTCAGTAGCTCAGAGGTTAGAGCATCTGATCTGGAACATGAAGGGTTGTGGGTTCGAATCCCATCTGGGGTTCAGATTTTTTCTGTGTCCTCTTATGGTTGATTCTTTACATCTCCCTTTATTTCCTTTATAAAGTCACGTTCGCAACAAATTTTTCTCGCCTTTGAGGATGTTTATCGTCAAAGGAAACAAAATCTAGCCTGAATTTCATCCAATTACTTGAGTCGTTATTACTCCCTCAGTAACGTCTGAATCGACCAGCCATTAATGCCATCCAGTGACGTCACTACTCCTTGACCTTTGCTTTAATTCATGCAAAAAGTAAAACACGATTTTCAAGTGGCAAACCGAGAAATATCGTTTGGAAATGTCTGCATGATACAGAATCGCTTTATTTTTTTCGATCGTAATTCATGTCTAACATTCAAACTATCGACTGCATGCAGTACAACTCTGAACCGGTTGTACTGAAATCTATAATCAAACTCGATTGCGATCATGCAATGAAATAAACACACACATGAAACACTTAGTTCAAAAACACAAGATTTGCTTTAATTGAAAAGAAGCTATTTGGTCCTTAACGAATAAAAAAAAAACAAGGAAACCAGAAAGAAAAGCTAACAGAATCATTACACTTGATGGTGAAAATAACAAGAAGGTCGAACTATAACTGTACATTGATCTCAGAAAACTTCGTGTAAACAAAATCACTGGCCGCCAAAACCACAAAGCGGCTCTAAATGAAAAACCTACTGACTGTCCGCAATGATTCTTCATTCACAGAAATTACATACAGTGTGCACATTGTGTAGGTCACATTTGATTTCAAGTAAATTTTGATTTAACCTGGGTTGATTATCTATGACTGCCTTTGTCTCCTAGTCCCAAAGAACAAAAGAAATCGAAAATCAACCAACAGTGTAGGTTAAAAAAACTTTAGCATGAAATCCAAATTAATTTGACCTGTAACATCTGTAGAAATGTATATTAAAATTATTACTCAGCATTACATGTACATGTATGTCAAGATTAAACATTCTGAAAAGCATTTGCATCCTGAAGTTTAGCCTGAGAAAACAGCTGACATTTTTGCAATGCCACCACTGGTCTCCCAAGATGTCTGAGAAACGAGAACAGAAACTCGATGCTGATGACGTGTCATGACCAAGATCTGGGTAGTGTTTCAGAGTGGTTAAAATTTTGCTTCAACCAATAAGAAGCACTACCCAGATCTGTGTAGTGACACGTCAACAATATGGAATATCTGTATAGAATATCTTGGTACTTTGCAAGGAAACCAGTGGTTTTTTTAGGAAATGTTGGCTGTTTTCTCAGGCTACGTGAAGTTTGAACATGCGGTTATTCTGTCATATTTAATTCTGGACACGGTGCCAATATTATGTTGTTGTCTTTTTGGGCCAAAAGCGAACACCTAATCGAATTATTAGAATGTGCAGGCAGTGTTTTCTACCAAAGCGGTTTGTGAAGCTGCTTGTAAGCAAGTTGGTCAAAAATTACAAAAACTGATTGTTTACAGAAAGAGTGTTGCATACATGTACATTGTTTACCTAAGTTTTCCTTTTTCATGCATAGTGCTCTGTGGAAATATTACTACGTGCAATGCTCTTCTTAACGGTGATTTAATTTATCTCTGGACATCCTGCATGTGCAATGTACATGTACCAGTACATAGTGTTAGGGTGCTGAGTTTTCTTTTCTTTTTTTTAACACTTAGCTGAGTTATTGGTAGACAAGGCCATGGAGATAGATCATGTTGGAGGCACATTTGGAGGAAACATTAAGCCAACACCTTTCCTTTGCCTGGTGTTGAAAATGTTACAAATTCAGCCTGAAAAGGAAATTGTTGTAGAGTTTATCAAGAATGAGGACTACAAGTAAGCCAGACAACAATATTATTACTTGACTGTATATTCATTGAGGTGTAGTGAAACACATGTGGATGGTGCAGTCTCTCCTTTCATTCACGTTTTAAATACTGCCATTAAATTTTGAAACATTGATCATTAAAAAGTTAACATAAATTAAAACTTCAAAAAATTAATGCTGTATGAGGTGTCAAACTGAGCTAAATTCTTCTCATTGCTAGGAAACAGTATTCTAAAAGTCATTTCTTATTTCTAATGATTGAATTAAGCAATAGAAAACGTTTTCTGTGTTTGCATAGCCTGATATAAACACGAGAGGCAGGGTTTGAGCTAGAATTTGATCACTGGGGGACAATTTGTCCCCTTGGCTAAAATTTTGGGGGACGTTTTTATTTTTAGGGGGACAGAAATTTGTACACCCTTCTGCTGATGCAAAGAGGTTTGTCTTCTTAGATTTCTGACAAAAATAGCTGAACATCGCCTGAGACCTTTTCATAACACAACCACGTGTGATCTCGTGATTTTTTTGGGTTTCGGCCTGGCTCAAACTCTGGAGAGGGGTTGGGAGAATTTGAAAAAGTTATGTAAACCCGAGACGAAGTCAAGGGTTTGCATAACTGTCGAGAATTCTCCCAACGCCTCGTGTGTTTATACCAGCCTATGCAAACTCAGGAAAAAAGTTTTCTATTTCTTTTATAAAATAACTTTCCCGAGAAAACGCAAAACTCTTTGTATGGCTCTGATTAAGAGAGAAATTCTTACCAGTTGCAAAGTCTTGTCCTTGAAGTCTTGCCTGCGTAATCAGTTGTTGTTTTGCAAAAAGATGCTCTCCAAAATATGGATTTTTCTCACTTAAAATGTCAGCTTAAGCGAAGAAAAATTGACACACCTTCTTTGTAACGATTTTCCAAGTTTCAGCCGACGAAGGAATGGGTAACTAAAGTAAAATTGTGGAGTTTTGAACTCAAAAACATTTTCAAATTCGTGCTTGCCTGATTAGCGTGCGAAAAGCAAAATATCTTGATGCCACAACCATGTTTACATACTCCTCTCGGCCAATCAGAGTGCACGTACTTTCTTAGTTATTTTATGAAATGTGATATAATGTGATATAAAGTGTACTTAGTGGTGCCTTGAATATTCTTTGCTTAAGTTTGATACTGTGTAACTCTTTAGATATGTGCGAGCTTTGGGAGCCATGTACATGAGACTGGTAGGGACATCACTTGACTGTTATAACTATCTGGAGCCACTCTACAATGACTACAGGAAAATCAGAAGAAAGGACAAAATGGGAAGTAAGTAACAGAATGATACTGTATGTATTGTATAAACATGTCATAAACAGTTTTACCATATTTATTCAATTAACCGCCCTGGGCGGTATTAAATTTTTGGACCTTGAGAGTGGGCACTTATGCAAGGTGGGCGCTTATTCGAGGCTGGGTGCTTATTAAATTTTCACTATTCTCAACAAGTGTAGTAGTTTATTTTGCAACAAAACAGTAAATGCTAATAACAAAAAGCGAAAGTGTAACAAAAGCAAGGTTTCTGTAAAATACTCTGAAGAAAACTCCATCTTCGGGAGGGTCTCTTATTATCTCTTATTTGAGTTTTTGTGGGAGGGAGTGGGGTGGGGTGTTCGCTTATTTGAGGCTGGGCACTTATTAACTTTTTCTGCCTTTAGGATGGGTGCTTATTCAAGGTGGGCGCTAATTCGAGGTTGGGCGCTTATTCGAATAAATATGGTATCAACATTTCTATTACAGTGGAGGTTACTACATGTATTACAACCTGATTATGTAAATTAGTAGCAAAATAATAAATTTACTGAATAGTGTCACAGAAACAAAACTTGGTTAATCTTTTGGAGTTACATGTTACTACTACAGCGTATGAGTTATATTGTACAGATCAAATTTGATTTCAGGTTAATTTTTTTTTCACCTACACCTGTACAGGGTTGTCACCAAGATTTCAAGTTGCCGGGTAAATACAACAAGTAGGCGGGGAATCAAATGGCCAGGGATTTCTTTTGGTTCTATTTTTCTTCTATTTTCCGATAAAATTAGGCGGGGGCTACTCTCTTAGTAGCCAGGGAAAATCCCCGGCCCCCGGCTCTTAATGACAACCCTGCCTGTAGCAGGGTGCAAAGAAAGTCAGTTTTACAGCTTGCCATCCAAGTAAGCTGTAGCTAGCATGTAATAGCTGAAGTTGTTTCAACCAGCCTGCCAAAAAAATTGGAGCAGTATTGATTACAATTGATTTGTTACAATTCCAGTGGAAATGTCACAAAATATTGGCTGTTTACTCAGGTTACAGAATCCCTTTTGTTTTTCCTTTCACATCTTAATTCAGAAATCCCAGTGAGCTTTAAATAACAGCAGTCCTAATTAGCTCAAGAAAGCAAAACGCTAAAGGATTATGTTGGTAGAAGTAAAATGGCGTCATCATGCCAATTGCCTGTTGTTATTTAAACTTTTGCATTTTCAATTTAAAAGAAATGGAGCTATCGCACATGGATGAGTTTATTGATGAGCTGCTCAGGGAAGAGAGAGCCTGTGATGTGATTTTGCCACGCATTCAGGTAACGGTGTTTAGTTGTTCAGATACTGGACGCACCCATCCATAGTAGAAATGCACATGCCTTAAGATAAAGTCATCATCTGCGTTCAAAACGATTCATTGGGTGCTGTTTTAGCCACATGTTTACATTGTACATTATGTAATGAGTTTCACAATCATGCACTTTATCATAGGGCACAAATCTGCATTTAAGTAGACCATTGTGAAAAATGTTAAATATTCCATTTTTATGCATTACGCACATACAAGTTAATTTTTCAAGTGGACATGTAAGGAATGGTCTTGCAGTAAACGATTTGGACCATAGTTCTATAGGTGTAGATTCAAGCATTAAAGCCATCATGCTCTTTTGCTCAGACAAACAACACTTTGCTCCACTCGACCTCTCTCCACCCACATTTAGGTTAATACAGTGTAAATAGTTACCGGAGAGGACAAGCATTAAGTCCAGGGAGAGTGACAATTCCAATAGGTGCCTCTTGCTGCTTAAACCAGGGCAATCCTTCCTATTACACTGTACATGTATCTGTGCCTCACTGGTCCAAAGGGCACCTTTCCTTCACTTTGTTTGTAAAAACGTGTCACTGTGTAGTTAGTATAGAAAGAGTGAGCAATTACTAGCTGATTCAGAACCATTCATGAATTGTGTGGTGGTTGAGAAAAAAACATAAATTGACCCTCAATCTCTCAAACAATGTTTGGTCAGATTTATAAAACAAAGCGGATTTAGGAAGACGAGGGAATAAAGACATTTTTTACCCTCTGGTATGACTGCAAACGTTAGCTGTTATTGACATTTGTGAACCTACACTGTAGCTTTTCATTATAATTGGAGGTTTCCAACAATACATTTGTATTTTCTTTGTTTATGAAAGGCCTCTATAAAAGGTTGAAAATCTAAAAAAAAATGGTCATTCATTTGATAAATACCTAAAATCTGAACGTGAAATAATCCTTTATTACGTTTAGCAGCCTGAACAAAATTGTACAGTTTCATAAGCAACTTATCAGCTATGTATTTGCTTTTTCAGAAGCGGCAGGCATTGGAAAACAATAACCAGCTGGAACCAAGGGTAAGTAACGGTAAAATACACCTAATTGCAATGAAAAAAGTGGAAATTTTCCAAGAAATAAAAGTACATGAAGGAATAAAATCAGGAACATCGGCACATCAGGCAGACCACACTCTGTTTGTGCGGCGGTTGTTGTTTTATAAATCTGAGCATCGAACTTTTGTACTGAAAGTTTTTACGTGAATTGGTAATCCCGAATAATAATAATAAAACAAAAGATTGACGCATTCTGGTTGTACATTAGTAATCAAAAGACGCAACCTAAGCATGCGGTTAAGTGTAGTTGTATATAGAGGTAGGTGTACATATATTTTGATAGGTAGATAACTCTGTTTTGTCTTACGTGCACATAGCGAAGCCTTCTTGACGATGATTTAGAAGACATGGAATCCGAGTCAGAGGAAGAGGAGGAGAGACAGGTACAATGGATGTTCTTTCCAGACACAGTATCCAGTGGCGAATCAGACTCCGGCCCAAAGGACCGCAAAACTTTTTTGGACACCGCACCACCCTCCCCCCCCCCCCAACACCCGAAGGTCTAGATGCGCCACTGGTATCATTACCCCATGTTAGGTTTCAGTGCTAAATTACCCGCAGGAATGTTGTGCTTATAGCATAGAATTTCTTGCAATAAAGTATTTAAGAAAGATACACTGAAGGCCCCCTTTAAACATCCCTTTCAACTCTTACAAGGGTGTGCCTTTATTTACAACATAATTTTCGTCTTTAGTTTTTCGCGCCTTGGCGTTGCAGGGAGGCGAGGTCTGAGAGAGCTGTGCGACCAGGGAAGGCGCAGAAAAAACTATCGTTTTAAAGTATAAGAAAGGTTTACATCGACTTGTGAAGTTACACGCAAAAAAGGGCTTATTTATCAACTCCAAGCAGCTTCAAACAGCTGAGGGTTTCACTTTTGCTAAGGGGTCAAATTAATGTACTCTCTCGCTTGATTTTTACTCAGTACTCATTAGTTAACCAGCCTTCTCCTTTTGCACTGTTCACATCGTTTTTAGTCACTCACAGTGATCTTTCCATGTTTTATAAAGTCCCCACGTCGGAGAAGCAGAAGTCGCAGTCCTTCACCAAAGCGTGGATACCGTGATCACGACAAAAGTCGAAGACGCAGCCGATCTCCAGCACACCACAGGTACAGTGTACATTTATGACGAGGAGACTGTGATAAGTCTAGAGTAACAGTAGTGTGGGCACGCTTTACGGTCATTTCGCCCCCAAGTCAATTCGCCCCGGTTACTTATCCCCCTATTTTAGAACAAGGAATGTTTTATTTGAAGCTTGCTTGTCATAGTTTATGGCTTTAAGAACGCGGAATATTACACTTGAAGGGCGCTTGGTTTGCTTTACGGCATATAGAAAGAGGAACATTACATTTGAAGCGCGCTAAATGACTCGAAAATAGGGAACTAAGTAACCGGGGCGAAATGACGTAGCGGGGAAACGAGAGCGTGGGCCGAGAGTGACGCCATTAACCCTTTAAGCCCTAAGAGTGATCAGCATCAAATTTCTCCTTGTAATATCTAGTAATATGTGCTTTGTAAAACAGTGGTCATGAAAATTGCGGACATGATCAAACAAGATGAATTTGTTTGATATTTCATCAACTTCTCCCCACTCCTTGTGTAGGAAGTGAATAGGGGCAACAAATGAGAATTCAAATTTTGATCTTAGGGTTTAAAGGGTTAACCTTGAACTAAAGGAAGATTCCTTGGTGTAGCAGTTTCAGACTGTACAGTACGTCGTCAGACAAAAGATACGCAAAACAGCGAGCTTTTATGCTTGGTCATTCTTATCCAGATTGCAGGATGTAAGCTAAGAAAGAGTTGATACTAATGACACAAATGATTCTTAGGCTTTCCCATTATACATGTAGTCACCAACGAATCGAGTGTTCGAAGATTTACCTTAAAAGTTATTTATTCATTCATTGCTTGTTTGTTTATTATTTACTTGTTATTTTCCCGATAGACGCAGTCGGTCCAGATCACCCCGTCGTCGTCGACGAAGGTACGTTACAGAGTTAAAGGGGCATGGAACCCATTTGCTGATTAGGGCAGCCTGCAGTGCAGGCCTTTTCTTCGGGTGCGAATGTTTTTGCTCGCGAAAGCGCCATGTTGAAACTTCAAAAGAGAGGAGGAAATAACCAAAGATGGCGGCTACAACAATTACGAACATATACAAGCAGCTTTCGCCCCCAAAAGACGCCTGCGCTTCAGGCTAAAATTAGAGCTTTTGTTATACCTCTGCGGGGTTGACCAATTTAAACAGGAAAGCAAAAACGGCACGAATTCTCCCTGTAGTTGTAGTCTGCAGATGCCGTCAATGTGAAGATGACCTATTTGTTATATGGAATTAGTAGGCAAATTTGCATAAAGGGGGGAGGGGGAGGGGGGCAGGGGCAGAAGTAATGGAAGATGACCTCTACCGCCATACTTATTGATTAGTTGAGAAGCAAATTCAGGAAAATGAGAGATCGCTCGGTTAAGAAGTAATGGTAGTGACCTTTGTTATCCGACAATTGTCTTATAAATTGATTATTTGCGTCTTTTATCATTTTAGTGCTTCTCCCAAAAGGCGCGGACACAGAAGCCGAAGTCGTTCTCCGCATCGTCGTCATTCCAGATCACGCTCTCGGTCGCGTTCGCCTCATCGTCGGCGTCACCGTTCAAAGTCGAAGTCACGATCAAGGTCTCCGGACAAGTCGTCAAAGAAATCGAAGAAGTCGGACAAATCCGACAAGAAACGAGAGAAGGAAAGCGAGAACAGTGGAATGAGTAAAGAAGAGTTGGAGATTAAGGAGGCAAATGAACTCAGGGCTAAGCTTGGCCTCAAGCCCTTAAAACCTTGAAAGACTTCGCGTAGACGTTAATGCTTTCTGTATTCATCCGTTGAGTTACTAAGCAGTTCTTACTGAAATGTCTTAACCAATCTTGCTGAACTTTTCACCGTCAATCCTCGCTGGTTTCTGTCGAGAATTGAAGAGTTCTATACACGGAAGTGCGACGTGCTATGACAAAGAAAATCCATGACTGATTCATACTACTTAGGGCTATTGAGATTAGGATTAGTCATAACCAGTTGTGAGACCGTTTGTTGCATATCAAACAAAAGAGAATCCTTGAATTCTTGACAGATGTTTCCTTAATCAGTCATTAAGCAATATCAGAAACGATCGACTGTTCTTGTATTTTATTGCTTTTGTCAGCGTAGCACAGAAAGGTGTTTTACTAACGTTTTTTATGACCCAATACAGAAACTTACGTATGAAAGTCTACAAAGATGCGCAGCTTACCCCTGATTCTATATAAAGTTCCACGTACTGTGCTGAGAGATGTTTGATTAAGTTTACTTGCCTTACGTTTGTATCCATTGCCGTTTATTTGCTCGTCAAAACCATAACCTGCGAGCAACCGCACCATTTCGAGTGGCGAGCAAAGCTGGCCGTGAGAGAACGCGTGAATCAGGGGCAGGAAAGAAGATACACCCCGCCCCCCTCCTATCACTGGCGGCTCCTTTCGCTTTCCACTTTCGTGTGAATGAATCAAAACTAATATTAATAAAACCACAATTTTAGCGAATTTTACTTGGCTCCTTTCTCACAGGCCTACTCTTCTTAAATCCTAGAGGAACCTTTCCCGATAAGGGACTAATGTATTTGAACATTAGTGTAGATTTTCTTCGAGAAATCTCATTTGAGTTGGATTGCACTTTCACCGCTCTCTGAGTCACAATTTGAAAAAATACGATCCCACGTTTTTCGTGGTTTCCAACTTAGCATTCATATCCGACGGAACTTACTGTAATCTATCATGATTCATGCAGATCACTTCCCTGCCTCCGTCGATTGCTGCACTTAGATAAATTCCTTGCGGCATTATTTTTGGAACCGCGGGATCCCACAAAGCGTCACTCTACAGTAAACTCTTGGTAAATAAGGGCACTTTCTTCTGTTTACATACACATTGCCCTTGCAGGTCTAAATTCCCCAATAGGAAGTTCTGGTTGTTGTTGTTGTTTTTCTCCACAAGACGTCTTGTTCTTCTTGTTTGAAAGCTTGCACATGACTCTGAATTCTCACTGAATGAGGGTCGACCATTTGACTTTTGAGGGGTGGAAGCGGGGGGGATATGGGTGATTTGGTTTGGGTAAGATTCTTTTTTCCCCAAACCTCTGGAGATAGAATTTTTTGTATGACTTTCCTGTGTTTGTTTTGTTTGTTTGTTTGTTTTTTTCAGCATTATACGCCATTTTTTTTTTCAGTGCAAGAATTTCTTTCGTCGAAATCAGTTTGCAGGATATCATTTTTATCCTGAAATCACCCATACCCCTACCCCACTCAAAAGTTTAATGGTAGGCCCCTAAGAAGACTTTAGTAAATCGCATTGCAATACCGAGCATAGCCTGCGAACAGCAGACGTATTTCCGATCGTCGCTTCTCTCTATATTATTTTTTGGAGAGGGAGAAGCGACGACCGGAAATACGTCTGTCGTTCGCAGGCTACACTGAGCATAACTATTCGAGGAATTAGGAAGTTGTCCAGGAACCGCTCAATGAGTTATTGAGGCTTAACCAAAAGAGTGGTCATTCTGTTGGTAAGGAATTTTTGAATGTGTTTTGTATAATGCAACGTCTCCACCACACACTCACACACATACACACAAACTTTGAATTTAAAATAATAAATAAATAAATAAATAGGGAAAAGAAAGTGAAATGGACAAAAAATCTCATATATTCATCGGCGCGTCGTCATGGTCTCGTTAGTTGAGCGTAGATTGGGCACGAATGACGTCAGCAGCTTGTTTCTGACGCAATCATCCAAAACAAAATGGCCGCAGAAGCAGCAGCGGAGATTGCAGTTCCGGCGTGCAGTGGTTGTAATACTTTAGAGAAGAATGAAGTAATACAATGACTTGTCACTCACAGTAGTTGTAGTCTTTGCTCCTGGAGACTAATGCATTCAAATGGTGGATAGTATGGTTGTAGAGAACGGTGTTGAGCCTTTATTTGTAGTCGGCGGCAGTGATGGATTCCTCGCGGACATGGTTGACAGTCCTATGTTGTTTGGACAGGGTGACCCAGATATTTTCTTTCATCGGGTTGATTCGGATCAAATCATCTACCAGCCACGGCGAAAGAGAGCTAAGCTTATAGGAAAATTTTTGATGGGGGATGCCTTGGGCGAAGGTTCCTACGGAAAAGTGAAGGAAATGTTGGACAGCGAGAATCTTCGTCGATGCGCGGTGAAAATTATGAAACGAAGAAAACTTCGAAGGATTCCAAACGGAGAACAGAATGTTCAAAGGTGAAGGCTCAGAATTGATCCGTGTAAAATTTGTTTCCAAGTTGATCTCGTTGCCGTCCTGGAAAATAAAGTTACACAGTTGTTAAATAATAATGAGTTTAATTGAGTGTGATTAACACCATGAAATTTCAAGTATTTGTCTTCTTGTCAACAGAGAAATTCAACTGCTAAGACGTCTTCACCATCCGAATATTATAAAACTTTATGATGTGATTTACGACGACAACAAACAAAAGATGTATCCTTTACAGAAAACAATCACAGGAAAAATACATATAACATGATGTATTTGTGATAATATAATATCCGACGAGTGTATGCTCGCGCTTTTATCTGCACTGTCTTATACACATACACAGGTTTATTCTCAGCTTCTATAAAAATCAACTCAATGATTTGGGTGTTATCGTGTTTCTCAAGTTATTCTAAATTCTGTTTCTTTATTAGCAGTGGTTGGTTTCGATACCTTGAATGCTTTAACAATGTAAAGCGGTAGATTATAACAAACTTAAACTAATTGGTTTGATAATTGAATTTCTTCACATCTTCACATGAATAATCTTGTTTGTTTGGCTAGCATCAAAATTTATCCATACAAAATCACAGCTTTATCACATGATTGTGGGATTCTGAAATATCCTTGCTTGACTAGTTTTCACTGTAATACCCAATTAACCCTTAAACTCCCACAAGTGGTCAGAGTCAAACTCAACAAAATGTCCAAATTTCAGTTTTAAAATGCTGAAAAGCAAATGTAACCTCGGAAAAATTGTGCCAAAGAGGTTTTATTTCAATCTTCACACCACAGGGTTTCTTCCACAGACTTAAAAAATTAGAACAACCTTCAAACAGGCAAGTCTCCATCATTCACCCTGGGATTTAAAAGGGTTAAGCCCACTTGAGGAAGGCTTAACTTTTCTGAGCTGTTTGAAGGGGTATGCATTGCTTAAGGAAAAAAAAGGAAATGACTGTACTAGAATCAGAATACCCTTTACAAGGTTACCAGATGCAATTTTGTTCAAAGTTTTATTTTCTGATCCAAGTGGAGGTGGGCTTAATCTTTCATGAGTCTTATGAGCATGGGATATATGGAAACATTCTGTGTGTCAAACTTCTGAAAATTAGGTGAATTTAGTGTTGTTCAATTATTAGAGAGAAGTAGAACCACACCTTTTTAGAGATTTAGAATGCCATGATTCTGAGAATGGAACAGCAATTGTTTTTTGTTTTATTTTTGTTTTTGTTTTTGTCCATTTGTGTGTTTGTTTTTGATAATTTTCATTTCTTTTTTGCAATAATTGAGCCTTTAATTTTAACCTAAGAGCTGAGGAAATCACCAGGGAACTGGAACATCTTTATCAAAACCATGAGTTACATACGTACACAAGAGCTTTAAAATAGTGAAAGCAACAATAACAACAACAACAACAACAGCTAAAACACTGCAATGACTATGCATGAGAGTCGGTGGTAACAAAAATTAGTAATGACATGATTTACATTATTCAGACCTTAACAAGCTAAGGTACATGATAATGGAATACTGTGTGGGTGAATTACAAGAGATGCTGGATAAAGTTGAGCAACATAAGTTTCCCATTTGGCAGGCCCATGGGTAAGTAATATTTAAGGGCTGTTTACATGGGGGAAGGAAGATCCTAGCACCACGGAGATGCTAGTAGGCGGATCATCCTAGCACCATATGTTTTCTGTATTCAGTTTACGTGCAAGAAGTTGTACTTGTTCCTGGTGTTAGGATCTCCATAGCTGAGGGGTAGGAAGATCCTAGCACCAAGTAAACTGCTTTTGCTAGGAAGATCCTAGTACTAGGGACAAACCACTCAAAAATGGTGGCAGGTTGTTCAGTGAGTAATTTTTCATCTTTAGTTCCTTCTCTATTGTTAACCACACTGACAAAAATTTCTGCATGTAAACCCAACGAAAAGTTGTCCCACCTTCTAAGATCGTCCTGGCACTAGGATCTTCCTCCCTCATTCACACCTTCTGATAGGGTGTGAAATATATTGGAACATTATGCAGTGTTTCCAAGATATTTTCTTATGCACCAGAAAAGGTCTTCACATGCAACACTGTCTTATTGTCATGAGATTGACAGCAACATAATGATTTCAGAGGCACTGCTTTCAGTGCTAATTTAGAATGAAGCCTATAATGCCAGACACCCTGAAAATTCTTTTTTTCGATAGAAATGTCACTGCCACTTCCAGATTAAAATATGATGTTATTTCTTTTCCTGTATGGTTTAGATATTTTTGCCAGTTGTTAGATGGTCTGGAGTACTTGCACTGTCAAGGAATAGTCCACAAAGATATCCTTTTGCAAGTTACATGTAAACTCTTGTTCTGAAAGAACTTCCTCCTTCAGTACAAACCATTATTAGTAACATATTGTATTTCTAAGGCAGGCTGTTACTAAGATTTCAACAAACCAGGTATAACTGTATGCAATTTATAGGCAAGGAATCAAACAGCTGGGAAGTTCTTTTGGTTCTATGAATCCTTTTTGTTTCCTTTGAAAAAAAGCTGGGGTCATACTCGTTATAGACACACTGGATGCAAAGAAAGTCATTTCCTATAGCCCAACCAGTGGATTTTGCAGTTGAATGTATGTTCTTTACCAACTGACTTTACTAAAACTGACTTTCTTTGTATCCCAGTCGTTATTATTTTTGTCTTGCTGTGACAGACCTCTACTAGCAGAGAATCCGTTCGATAACACTGTGTAATATTTGAACAACTCTACCACCAGACCCTGGTAATTCAAACATTGGATAGTAGTATTCAATGAATAAATCACTAGTGAGAATGAAACAAACCAGTGTGTTAAGGCTATTATTGAATGGTCAATGAATTTATCATATTGAATGAATATTCACGAGTTCAGGTTAACTTGCTTAGTGACATTTAGGACAATGTCGCGCACACTAGAGAATTAAAATTTGGCTGGAACTGTTATAATTTGTAGACTTTGGTTACCTTGACAATATCTACATATCAAGCCAGGAAATTTACTTTTAGCTACCGATGGAACGCTAAAAATTTCTGACTTTGGAGTTGCAGAGGTAAGTAAGCACATTGTAAATGAAATGAAATACACTGTAGTTAAGATGCAATTAAAATTGTACAGAAACTTTGTCTAACGAGATTTTGTTGACTTAGGGGTTTTAGTTTTCCAGTAGTTGATTGGCAGGCATCTATTTTCCCCATTAATTCCTTTTATAAGTAATGGTAACAGGACTGAGTGGAGTCCAATTCGGTCTGTAATCATACGAGTGATTAACAAAATCGGACGACCGCGTAGCGGGAGTCCGATTTGTTTAATTACGAGTATGATTACAGACTGAATTGGACGACACGAAGTTCTGTTACCAATTAATCATAACTTTAACAAAATTTGTGATACAATAGGCTATTTTTTAAACCAAAACACAAGAAATTCGAAATCCTGTTTTGCTAGCAGTGAAAAAAAAAACCATTTAAGCGCGTGCGTGATGGCGCGTACTGTCCAATTACTTAGGCATGACGCGTACTGTCCTATTAAACTGTCCAATTAAGGCTGAAATCAGGGCAGTTGAGAGCCAATCAGATTTGACAATTTTGTTATAGTTATGATTACTGTGTTAATAATGCAATATACAGGTAAACCACTGACAGGAATTAAAACAAAAGTCTTGAGTTTAGTTTTGCATGGGTTGCCTGCTAGAAAAAAAAAACATCAAGCATAATATGCCTTAGTTACGTTTGACAATACCAGGCACTGTTCTAGAAAATGAGCTCGTACTCCTAAGACCAGGCTCGCGAGACCGCTCAAATCGAGCCTAACAACATAGTTAATCTGGAGATTAAACAGCTTTGTCAAAAGCAAAGACCGATAACAAATTGATATTAAAAAAAATTGTGACAATCATTTTTTTTAAATTTAATCCTAAAGAGTGCCGAAAAGGTGCGTTTATTTTGAAACAAGAAGCATTTAGTTTTGTTTTTTATCATATTTATTGTTTGTAGAGGTTGGGTCCTTTTGCAAAAGATGATACGTGTAGAACAAGTCAGGGTTCTCCTGCTTTTCAACCTCCAGAGATCGCTAATGGTCTGGAAACATTCTCAGGATTCAAAGTGGATATCTGGGCAGCTGGAGTTACATTGTAGGTGTCATTAATGCCCCATTCACACCAAAGCATGTTTAAAAGCTGTCTGGTTAAACACGGTTAACTAGTTTAACAAATTAAAATAGTTTAACAAATTAAAATTTGGTTAACTAGTGTACGGTTTGGTAGTTTAACAAATTGAAATTTGTTTTCTTGGTAAAAGCTGTACTTTTATTGATGGATAGTTTATCGTATTTACATAACACAAAGCCTGTGTTCTATTTTTCTGTGACTGTTTTTCATTTTTTTAAATCTTATTTTAATTAAACATGCTTAGTTGGTATGAATAGGGCAACAGTTTCATATCTATGGATAAACTGAAAATAGTTATTTGTTAGGGTGTTTTGTTGTCGCTGTTGTTTTTAACCTTGGAAGTGGCTAGTCTACCAATACAGCCGTCTCTCCGGAGTCGCTCCTCGCTAGAGAGACGTCTGCTCTGAAGGACAGAAATGCCATACTGTTGTCTGTTGATTGAGTAATTTAATGTTTACATAATTAAGCTGGTAGTCATGGTGTTCGAAATGTAAGTCTGTTCGGGTTTATGCTTCTCCCAGTCTGTTGTCTAAGCCTTTTTTTTCTGTTGCCCTCGGAACCTTTCGTGAACTTTGCAGAGTGTTCTATCTTGACGTTAGCCTTACAGGAGGAACTGGCTAAACCTCTTCTGGTTAAATAACATTGTTATCTTTCTTTCATTCCCTAGGTACAATATAACTACAGGGAAATATCCTTTTGAAGGAGAGAATATATATAAACTGTTTGAAAACATCGGAAAGGGCGAGTTTACAATTCCCGAAGGAGTAGACGATACCTTAGCTGATCTTTTGAGAGGTACTTCGGAAAAAATGACTGATAGTATTTTTGTTTTTCTCTTTATTAGAGACTTTTAGATTCTAAGACGAGGGCGACCACGAGAACGAGATTTTTTACTGAGTTAGCGACTAAGTAGTGCGGGCGCTTGCATTGAACCAATGTTTTTTTGGCGGGAAAAAAGTGATAGCCGTCGTCATTCTATTACAGGTTTTCGCAAAAACGTCGTAGTAACCGAACCAAGTTACAAATGTTAGAGGTTTTATTATGCGATTGCGAGAGTTCTTAACCGGCCTCATTCAATAAAAATTACTGTGTGAACGTTTCCTGCTGGAGAAACGTACAATGAACCTTTCCGGGGTGATTATTTTTTGAGAATAATTGAAAAAAAAATTAAGTCAAAATCTCGTCTTCGTGGTCGTCCTCGTCATCGAATCTAAGGTCTGCGTTGTTTATTTTAAGCGATAGACTTAACCCATTTTGACATATAACTTACAGCTGTCGGTCTTTTTGCCTTCTGTGGCGGTTTGCGGCTCTTGATGGGCCCTTAAATGTGATCTACCAGGGTTGGTATCATGGTGAATGTAACGGAACGGACGTACGGCAAAATGGAATCTGTGAGGCAGATACCGTAAACGTAGTATAGTCAAACCTGTATTGAGCGGTCACCGTCTATCAAGCAAACACTTACTAAAGTCTCGGAAATCATTTCTCTTATGTAAAACTGACCTGTAATAAGCTGTCACAGTCTGTTGAGCGTACGCGTCAATTTGACAAGATGTACCGTTCTCGAGCAGCAGATACACTGTCTACTGGGTGTGTATAGCGTGTGGTCTTTTATTATCCGTATTTATTTATTATTATTATTATTATTATTATTATTATTATTATTATTGTTATTATTATTATTATTATTATTATTATTATTATTATTATTATTATTATATTTTTGAGTGCAATTAGGAGAAGAAACGTTTTGAGGCCATTATGTATCTTCATAATGGTCAACCTTTATTATGGGACAGTAAGCCATTCCCCAGGGGTGACAACTTAATACAGGTGTGACTGTAACCTGTTATTCATCCTCATAGGTATGCTAAATGCAAACCCAGACAACAGACTTGCAATTCAGCAGATACGCCGACACAGGTAAGGTTGCCTATTGGTACACTCAGTATTTCTTTGGTTATTTAGGGCGTGGCGCGACACGTGAAGGAGTTAACCTTTCGACAGCTGCACACTTACTGGCGTGTCTACTCACGTTATATCTATATTATACCGAATGGCTTCTCGTGCCGACATGGAAAACTACCGGGATCATTATGAAGGATAGTAGTCTTAAATGGCATCCATCTCTTCGCCCTAACCCCCAACGGGCGGCAAGGCGATTGGGGATGGGGCGAAGAGACGGATGTCATTTCAGACAAGAACGATAGGGGAAGGGTAGGTGGGCAGTTTCCCAGAAACGTATAATGAACCAACGATAGCTAGCGGCACAGAACCGGAGCCAGAAATATTTCGTAAGTGTTGACTGTATTGTGACCAGTCACATTGGTTGTCTCGGCACACACGGCATCCACAAATGGATGTTACTAAAACGAGGAACGGGGAACTGGAAGTTAAAAAATAAATAAATAAATAAATAAATAATGATTTGGAGGTAGCACATCCACAAAGTGGTTCTTCGTCTACCTGATTCCTGGTCGAATTGGAATTTGGAAATGTTGGTTTTTCAGGAGAGGGGAAAACCGGAGTACCCGGAGAAAAACCTCCAGCAAACTCAACCCACATATGGCGTGGACGCCGGGATTTGAACCCGGGCCACATTGGTGGGAGGCGAGCGCTCTCACCATTGCGCCATCCCTTGCTTCCCTAGCCCTACTAGTAACTATTTTTTTTTTTACCTATTCTCTGTTTCCTTCCAATTTTAATCTTCCCGATCCCCGTTTTAGTAACATCCAGCCAAAATTTCTCGTGAGATATTTATCTCACTTCTGATTGTGATTTTCCTCCTTTGGACGCGTGTAAGTTCCAAGTATGAATTTGGTGCTTGTAATTTTAGTCGGACACTAGCTATGTCATAACAAAGATAGTGGTTTTCCACCTAAGCAAGGAAGATAGTTTAGCACAGTGACAGTATCATAAATAACATCGAAAGGTTTTTCATTTTTTACTCATAGATGGGTTTGTAAGAACCACCTTAAAACCAACGATTTCGTTCCAATTCCTCCGCTTGTGGAAGACGATTTTCTCCGAAGCATGAGTGTTGTTCCATACCTTGAAGATCTACATAATTCAAGCCCGGACGAGGAGACCCCCGAGCCACTCAGTTATAATGAGGAGTCCTTTTCAGCAGGTATGAAAATGATTATCACTTAAGGCTGTGTTCGCACTTGGTGGCAGGTGCCGACGTTTGAACAACCGGGTAAAGGAAAGCAAATTCTCTCTGCCTAATCCGAGAACTGATTTTGTTTCATACCAATTTGGGGGGCCTTGTGATAAATCTTCCACGGATTGTTAGAGCCATCTTTAAACTACGAGTTGTTGTGGTGTGGTAGCTGCGATTTGCAAATGAGCCACTCACTCTTTCACTCACTCCCTTATCTGTAGACATGTTCGTAATTAGATTAGCCGAACGAGAGCGAAAGATATGAAAACGACAGTTCTCGTAGAAAGCGACTACTTACGGAATATGCATCAAAAACCATGTGCTCTCCAGACTATTTGTGGACTATCTTTGGTTCTTAAATCTAGAGACCGTCCGACTTGGAAGCGATATATTGTTCATGTTACCCAAGTGCGCTGTCATCAAAGCAATTTAGGAGTGCATTCATTTACGTAACCTCATGACACAGTTGTCACTCGCGGTCGCTGTGATCAAAGGCCTTTCTGAGTAAGCATCAGTACTTGGTGTTGATTCTATAGATGGTGTAACGCTACGAGTATCTTGATTACGCATGAGCCCTGGCACGGTTTAAATTTCCAGGAAACATGACAAAGGAAGAACGATGCCGATAAGTCGCGCTATTTACGTGTTTTTTTTTTTTTTTTTTTTTTTTTTTGTTCTTACCTCAAACTTCCCAGTCATTCTAGCGAGGAATGGATTACAGCCTGCGCCAAAAACCGCCCCATGTAAGAGTATCCGGACTCCGGAATCCGATAAATTTTTGTTCCTTGAATCCGGGATCCTGGGCTTAGGAATCCTAAGCGGGTGTCCTTAAAACGACTGCAATTCTTCTCAGCCAATTTCTGTTTACAGTCGAACTTTGCTTTTTAGTGAAGTGATCTTACATTAGCCTGCGAAAACGGCCGTTTCTCCTCGCTCCTCGCCGCTGGCGACGTTTCGCCAGGAGGAACGTCTGCGACTCAGGGTAGTAGTCATGGGGTTCCAAAAGCAAATGTGTTCAATTTTGCGTTTCCCTTGGTCGATTTTGGTAAAGTTTTGTGTTCATCTGAAAACGAGCTCCAGCAAAACTCAAATGCTTCTTCTAGAGAAGAATGAAGTCCAGAAATATTGACTGGTTTGTTATAGATTCATCGAGTTTGCATTTGACCTTTGTAGCCTTTTGTCTTTTGTCTGTCATTCGTAAACAATAGCTAAAACAATGTAACTACTCCGTCGACCAATCAGCTCTTCTGACCGGATTCCGGACAAATTTTACGTCATCAGTTATGGAAACGGCTGTTTTCGCAGGCTAACCTTACACAGGTGTGTAGGTAGGGTACTTTGGTGAGTAATTGTTATATATAGTCATCGTTGCAACCTAAGCAGTGTTACTTTGTTTTGGTGATGCCCCCTTCCATGTTTTATTTAATATGTACATTTCTTTTCTCCAGATGACTCTAATAATATCAACTCACCCTCCACTCCAAGCAGGAGAAAATCGATTTTAAAACGACCCAGTTTTGGATCCTGCAAGGCCCAGTAAAATAGAAAAATTTAGCTTAAATTTAAAGTGACATATTCAAATACTTAATTTATTGTGACAAGTCAGTGTAATGTGTATATTTATAGAATTCAGTTGGTGCCGTGTTTGCTTGTTCAACGGTTTCCCAAGATCGCCTCTTACATGTTCTATCCTCTTTTCATTGTAAATAAGATTAATGATAACCTTCAATCCATACCTCTGGATTGGTGTTTGGTTCCTACCAATTTTATATACGAGTATTCAAGTGTAGCAGCAGTTTTTTTTAATTAAAATATTTGAAGATCTTAATTGAAAGACGAAAACTAAATGCAAGTTCAGGGAACAACCATTCGATTTTTGAGAGGAAAAAAAGTACCCTTCAAACAAACTTTGAACAAAAAAACTTACATGGAGGTAAAGTATGTATATTTACACCGAACGTTTAGAGTAAAATTTTCGCATTTGTAGACTTGAAAAATTATTTGTCCAAACCGAATCACTCAACGCCTTCTCCAAGAGTCAAATGGTTGGTCTCTTAGCCAGAACTATTCAGAAATAATGACTTTACTGCGCAGGCGAACTGCTAGTAGTTACCAAGAGAAAATGATGGGATAGAGGGGGAACTGCCAGTCTAACCCAGACGTAGTTAACCGATAAACCGATAATCGATAGTAATCGATATCAATCATCGATGAATAGTAATTTCCGATATCGATCGATAGAAATCGATAAAGAGAAAAAGTTGTGACCATGATATTCCGATAGAATCGATGATGATTCTTTTATTAATTGTTATCTATTAGTATCGATTCCTATCGATTGTTATCGATTTTGTTAATCAATAATAATCGTTAAATTATTTTTTCTGTAACTTCGATTTCTATCGATTTGCGATATTAATCGGCGGATTAAATCGATTAATATCGATGATATCGATTGATTTCCGATATCGATTTTATCGATTAACTACGTCTGGTCTAACCCTCGGATTATGTGAATTTCACATAATTTATTTTTAGACCAATTAAACACCTGGAATTAATCGGGAGTTGGTTTCCGAAGAGGTCCACAAAGTTTTAAGGTGATGTTACAAGGGACGATTCCCAACGACGATTTTTAGCGCCACACAGCATTGCAATGTTGTAACCATTCGAAACAATGTCGCAACAGTGCTGTCAAGAGAGAACAATGGGAGTCTGTGCTCTCTTGGTGTGTCGCCATTACAATATTCTGCATTGTTTTGCTTTCAGGCGTTCGCGCACGCGAATTAGACTTCAGTGTAATTAAAACCTCTAAAAATAACTTTCACATATCCCGGCCAACGCCCTAAGATTCCCTCTCTGTTCCTTTATTCCCTCTTGTGATTACATGACGATGGAAACAAAATAAGCAACAACAGACTTAACAGATCTTGATGCCTTGAAGACAAAGACACTTAAGCCATGGAAAAGTTCTGTCGTTTTTCAGTACGTTAGGACACAACCAAGATAATTGGGCGTTTCCCGAATAAAGCGTGAATCTTGACCTTATCTAAATTTTTATTTCTTTCAACGGAAAAGACTGGGCAATTTTGTTAGTTAACTAAAATATTCCATCAAAATTCCAGGCACTCTAAATTTTAAGTATGTGGGTGATATCCCATGGTGTGACCACTCAAATGAAACCTCTTTAGCAGTACTTTCACATGGTACTATTTATTTAGTATGTACATGTAGTTCTCACTTTAGTATGTAGATCTTTCACTTGGTAATATTTGTGTAATGGAAAATGAGATGTGGACGTTTTGTCGAATTTTGACGTTAGCCTTGAAATTGAGAAACCAGTCAGTGGGTGTACGTCACCAAAAGCCATATCTCCTAGCTTCGGTAAGGGTGTGCTCAAATCAGTTAATAGAATACAAAGGGTAAAGGATAACATGGTGTTAAAATAGTGGCAAGAGAAGATCGCGGATATAATAAGACTGACCAAAAAAGTAATAATTTAATAATTCTGAAGAGAATGCTCTGGAGTTATCACTTGGTCATACGCAAGAGCTGTATTCACAGACTCGGAAAAAAACTACCATTTACAGTATACTGAACAGTACCAAAGGAAAATACAATCGACTCCCGATAATTCGAACCCTCAAAAAAATTATAAAGAAAATTATAAAGAAATGAAGATTGCTTCGAGTTAGCGGGAGGTTCGAGTTACCGAGAGTCGACTGTACTGCTCAGTCGCTTTTATTCGAGTTATCACACTTACGGATTTTATCAACGGACTAGAGAGCAAGAACCACTTCGATTCGTACAGCGTAATTGCAAGAAAGCACTGCTCAGTGGCTTAAATTGAATGGTCACACCATGGAACTGCCTAGTACATAACTCTTAAAATACAGAACAACCTTATACAGCTTTTTGAACCCCAATCTAGGCAGTATATATGTCGTGAATTGAAAAAAAAGGGGATCAAGTAACTGCTATTTTACAAAAATGTTCGTGAGTGAACTTCAAGGTATATTTGAAATAAAATCAGATTACATGAACATACTTCTTATTCGTGACGCTTACGTTATAACCAAATACACATGAAATAAAGGATTGTTTACATACAAGGGGGAAAATCCGACAACCAGAAAGATTCTAGAAGGCGGATCAACCTAGTGCAATGTTTTATGTGTTCAGTTTACATGCAAAAAGTTGTACTTGTAAGGAAGATCCTAGCAATATGTAAACTGCTTTGGCTAGAAAGATCCGAGTACTAGGGACAAACCACGCAAACATGGCGGCGGGTCGTTTAGTGGGTAATCTTTAATCTTTAATTCCTTCTTTACCGTCAACCACACTACTGACCTACATTTCTGCATTTAGACCCAACGAAAATTTGTTCCGCCTTTTTAGGATCTTCCTTGTTCTAGGATCTTACTCCCTCCATGTAAACAGCCCCTAAACAGAATCACAGAAACGTACTCTCCATCACCTTTGATTACAATGTCGACGAAGAATGGGTTAGGGTCCCTCCGCGTCAAACGTGCAAGACGTTTTTGTAGAGATTTGATTTGATATTAATTTGAAACCATGGGTAAGGATGGCTATTATTAAGGGTGTGTGAAGTATAGTTAATGTAACCACCTTTTTATTTTGTCTAAAACATAATAATTTGCTTGTTTTCGTTGAGAATCCCCGGTACCCGGTACCCCAGGCGTTATGGAGAGGGTAGGAAATTCACGAGTTGAAGTATATGAAAAGGTGGTAAGGTATTTAAAAGGCTTTTAATTACAAAGTTTCGAAGAGTCGCGCTGTATTGTTATGTTATTGTAATTTATTAAATGTTACACGAAAGTGCTGCTTCAAAGTTTATCGTGCTTATTTCATCTCGTTCCGATTCGCTAATTATCACGCTATAAAAGAAACAATTGATATGTTCTACCATTACCTGTGGAATGGCAAGGGGACAGAATCAAGAGATGAATTATGATCAATAAAAACTGAGTATGGAAGCCTGAAGATGATTGATCTCTGCTCCCTCTGTTCGAAAAACTACGCATGGTAACAGCATAACAAAAGTACAAGCACGTTTTTTGCATCAGTACCAAGGAAAAGGTTTGTGAGGAGAAAAAAAAAACTTCAGGCTCTGGGCTTAATGACAGTTTGGTCCCTGACATTAAGGTGGCTCGATACAGTTTTTCAGGGTCAATACCTCCCAAGTTTCAGCATAAACTACGTCGCCAAAAACAAAGTTTTGGAAAATTTGCCACCACAGTTGTATTAGATAAAGATGAAAATTTGTTCTGATCAGGGTTGTAACGGCATCGGAGTTGTCATAGCAACGAAATGACGCTATTACCTATTTTACTTGCAGCAGTATATCTCGGCACTGCCTTACAATATATCAATAATCTTGAAACTAAAACGGTTATATAAAAGGAAGGTTAATCTCAAGAATCTTAAATATTTAAAAAAATCTATCGAGCAGTTTAAAAATTACTCGCTAATTTGTTAAAGTAGACCAAAACGTTCAAAAAACCGCTAACAAGAGCGCCTCGATACATACTAATCAAACCCTTCCTTCTAGCTATCGGCTGGAGCTATCTCCTTGATCTTTCACACACGTTTGTAAAAAGATTGAAACTACTATGGGGTGAAATTGCATGTCAAAAGCGCTTCGTTTTCTACAGATAACAGCCGAACACCAAGATTGTCCATTTATTACCGTATTTCTAACCAGAAAATCTTTATCCCATTTCGCTTAAACTTCACGAACATCGAGGCTGCTATTGGAGGAAAAAGCTCCCGTGAATGATTTTCGAAGAACAGTTTTCCAGTGCCGAGATATACTGCTGCAAGTAAAATAGGTAATAGCGTCATTTCGCTGCTATGACAACTCCGATGCCGTTGCAACCCTGATAAAAACAAATTTTCATCTTCATCTAATACAACTGTGGTGGCAATTTTTCGAAACTTTGTTTATGACGACGTAGTTTATGCTGACACTTGGGAGGTATTGACCCTGAAAAACTGTATCGAGCCACCTTAAACAACATTCAGGTTGTAAAAAAAGCCGGAATTGCACAAATGGTTTTATTTTTGTTTTTTTCTTTGTTGTTCGTTTGTTCGTTGGTTTGTTTTTCTTGCGTTCAAAGTAATTGGAGAGAAGAGAGCCAAGGATTGTGTGCCTGTACGTACAAATTAAGTCCACCGAGCAGGCACAGTTGGTGAAGAATAAATGACGAAGTAACTGCAAACACTGATTTCTGCAATTTATTAGGTTCTTTAATTCACTCCTTGTTTTAACAGCAATTATATAATGATTATAATAGCCCATCACCGTTATTTTGTTTATTCTTTAATCCATAGCTTTTTAAACACCAATGTAACTTATTGGAGCCAGAGAAAACAGTGGACATTTGGTGATGCTACCACTGAAAAAGGAGTCTGAAGAACGAGCAAAAAAATTTCATGCTGAGGACGTGACACTAAGCAGATCTGGGTAGTGCTTTTGATTGATTGAAGCAAAGCTTCAGCCAATCAGAAACACTACCTAGATCTGGCTGGTATTCGTGTGATGTCCTCAGACGTCATTCGCAGGGAAACCAGTGGTGGCGTCCTAAATTGTCGGCTGTTTTCTCAAGCTAAAATAATCTTTAATACCCATCACCGCTTATTCATACTTTATAAGCATATTTTGAAAGCTCTTTGCGAAGGCTTAGTACCCATTTGTTAGCGCTAATCGCATGTCATGCTATAGATCGTTTTCACTGTCACGCAACAAAAAAATTAAATTGGAAACCGTCCAGTGGAAGGAACCAAGAAAATGAAATGTTATAAAAGACTAATTTATAAACGATGTGTCCAAGTCTCAGGTCTTTGTGGCCAATAGTTTCTGAGTTATTTGGCGAAACGTTTCACGCACCTTTGTAGAGCCTTGTATGGCCGCCGGAAATCAACAAAAACATCTGGAGTTTGCTTTTTCTATAAATCTCTTTCTTTTCACTCGAGGACTAGCGTACGTACGCATAAACATATCTTCTAATACTTGAAGTGGTTATACTGCTGAAAATCAAGAGGAGAGACCTTTTTTCAACGAGACAGCATTCCTATTTTGGTGTCACGCATTGTGAAAACTCAGAAGTTCAAATTGATGTATTTTCGAAATGAAACATGCTACGCAAATGGAAACTTGTACAAAGATTTACTTTTTGTTTATCTTCAATCTAGTGTAAATATTTTGACTTTACAATTTGATGACGTCACAGTGAAAACCATCTATATAAACGACCATCTTGTGATCAGCCGATAACGGGCAATATCATCCTTTTGTCTTAATCCAGGTGTTGATAATAAACATCCATAGTGTGAATATAGTGATCCAGCATTTTTGCCGGACACTTGTACTTGTCTGCCTTTTTGCAACAGTTGATGTACTCGGTCGTTGCGGACACGAAATCCATCGATTTACCTTCCTTTATCAGTTTTTCAGATAGCAGCATGCATTTGCGCATCGTAAGTCCAACGCAATCAGCCCATGTGTCATTCTCTGGAATCAGATAAAATATATACACATATATACACATTGAAGGGCAAACACCTGCTACAATAATAGATAATAAAAGTTTACATTTGCTGGGCTTTCTTTAAATCACACATGCCCAACCCATCTCCCACCCCACAAACAAGGTTGGACGCTTGTATCCAGAACTTTTCCCGAGTTTCAACTGTTTATGGGGGGTTACGAATGCTGCATTACTGTCAGAAGGTCTTTGTCCAGGGCTGTAGTTGTGCAACAATTTCGAGTGGCATACCGTGAAATATATCCCAGGAGTAACTTGATTTTTCTCAGTGTACACAGTTTTATCTATGAAACATTCAAATCAATAGTGGGATATTCGCGGTATACCAAGAGAAAGCATTGCATGACTACGGTCGAACCTCTTGTGCGACCACACCTCCCATGCGACCACCTAACCAAAACACCAAAATGTTCCCAATCAAATCCCTGTAATCAAAATCTTTCGCTGAAACGACCACCTCACAGGAGCGACCGCGACCACTTCTTTTTGGCCTGACGATTTTGTTGTTTTTAATATTGTTTGTGTGCTCTCGTAAGCGACCACTTTACGAGTGATGTGGTCTCTGGTCACTGCATGTGCTACGCCACTCAGAGTACACGAAAAAAGCTAACACAAAACTAACTCGTTTACGGAACTTAGAAATCGCATGCAATGATTTCTCTGCCACGATGTAGATGTGTCGGGACCTCTTCTCGGAGGGGACTACCTGTGGTTCGATTCTCGTAAGCGACCACCTCCCGTAAGCGTCCACTAAATCTTTCGCATGCAGTTCGGGTGGTTCGGCTGGTTGGAGCGAGTCAGAATCTGAATCAATCACTTGATGCCTAATGTTTAGATATGTGCTACATCCTATCAAGATTCACTGTCCTATGTAAAAATGAAACTTCTTACCAACATTCTTCAAATTTTCTTTCTCCATTACACCTTAAAAAAGAGAAATTATTTGACATCAAAATAGATCCTTGGATTAAACCCCTTCCGACGTTAATAGAGAAGGTAGTCAGGGGTGGTTGCGATATATGACATTGAAAGTGATGACAATTGGGGCCAACAGAAAAGCAAGTTTGCATTTTTGTCTAAAAAAGGTGTAGGGCAAGAGAGTAAAATGTTAAATGATAACCTATTTTAGACCTAAAGCATAAATATGTGCTTAGTTTCTATACTAACTAGCTCTAAACTGTTGGCAAATAAAAGTATATTAGGCACCGGTCATTATTTATCGCCTGCGGGAGTGGGGGGGGAGGGGGGGGGGAGGGGGGATGGGAAAGGGTCAGTTGATTTTTGTGAGAACCCCTCTTGGGTTCTCAGTCGTAACTGAGAACCCAAGAGGGGGGGATCGCTGAAAACTTTGGAAGGATTCGGAGGGGGGAACCACTCAAATTTGCTTGGAAAATGAAGGCATGGTGGAGGGATCACGAAAGTCATCAAAAGTTATTACGGGGGATCGCTTCACTGAAGAAACATTCAAAGCGCGGATCGGCTAAATCTCACCTAGTTTAGCCCAAAATCTTCCCTGCCCCCCGCCCCCTCAGCAGCCTTAATCCACAATACTAAAGGCCTCACACAACATATCAAAAACTCAAGAGGGATTCCAGCTACAAACACCCACCCGCCTTTTGCCCCTCCCTTGAAGCATACCGTGATCCAATGCGATCTTCTTTAGCTTTTCTGTCGGCATGTTGTCACAAATTCCAGCCATCTCTGCTATGTACAGATGCTGCCATTCGTAAGCGGCCAAGAGGTGGACGATACTGGGGTCGGGTGAGGCATATTTAGAGGGGTCTGTATTCAGAATGCAACGCGCAAACTCCTGTCAAAATAATAATAATAATAATAATAATAATAATAATAATAAAGAAGGTTAGTAAGCGTTAAAGTATAGAAAAGGTTAAGAACTCATCGAACATGGTGGGTTCTTAATATATTTGTTCAAATTTACTGAGTCTTCATGAAGAGTAATCAAAGGATAGCAATGCCATCGAGAGCTCAGAACTTCCAATATCATTATAACGTTTTCAAACCATTGATATTGTGGGAACAAATAACTCCGTGGTGTATTTTTTTAGCATTGTTATTATATAAATTCTTCTGAGAATTAACCCTATTCAGATCAACGGGGTTTGGACCCCCCCCCTGCTAAAACTTCAAAACCGTTTATGCTATAAAACTTACTGACTTTTCCTAATAAAATATGGTTATCATTGTGACATCATCAAATTGTAAAGTCAAAATAGCGAGGTTTTACGAATTCTTATTTACACTAGGTTGAAGATAAACAAAAAGTTAATCTTTGTACAAGTTTCCATTTCCGTAGCATGTTTCATTTCGAAAATAGAGCAATAGGACATTTGCACGATGACATCATTTTACTACTACGACCAGGATCCTTCAAGGTTTCGCTTCCTTGTGCTAATTAAGGCTTTTGTTATTCAAACCTCACTGGGATTACAAAATTTAAAGATGAAAGGAAAAACGAAAAGGATTCTGGTCGTAGTAGTAAAATAACACCATCGTGAAAATGGCCTATTTGAACTTCCGAGTTTTCACGGTGCGTGACACCAAAATAGGAATGCTCAGGGGCACCCAACGAGAATATAGTTCAAAACCACAAAAACATAGCATTGTTGAACGTACTTTAGTATTTAAACGGTAGATAAAGGCTTATTTTTATCCCCTAAAAATGTTTCATCTGTTCGGATTTCCTAGCTGAAAGTATAGTGATCCGAAAATTATAGGAATCAAAATTTACTTTTTCGAAAATTTCAGCCAGAAAAAAGGCTCCCGAAAATTCTAGGTGACCTTTTTAGGGTAAAAATCCATTAAAAATGGGCAATTATACGATTTTTTTGAAGTTCGAAAATCCTAGGAGAGGCAGGCAAGCAAGAATTTTTTCAGAAAATGATCCGAAAATTCTAGACCTCAAATCGTCTTCCGAACAGATAATTTTCCGAAAATTGTCGTTGGGTGCCCCTGAATGCTGTCTCGTTGAAAAAAGTCTCTCCTCTTGATTTTCAGTAGTATAACCACTTCAAGTATTAGAAGATATGTTTACGCGTACGTATGCTAGTTCTCGAGTGAAAAGAAATAGCTTTTATAGAAAAAGTGATGTTTTTGTTGATTTCCGGCGGCCATATTGGTGCACCGATATGGCGTCTCCATACAAAGCTCTACAAAGGTGCATGAAACGTTTCGTCAAATAACTCAGAAACTGTGGGCCACAAAGACCTGAAACGTGGACAAATTGTTTATATATTAGTCTTTTACAACATTTCATTTTCTTGGTTTCTTCCACTGGACGGTTTCCAATTTAATTTTTTGTTGCGTGACAGTGAAAACGTTCTATTATCTGGGAACATTTTAAAGTCGTCGTGACGTATATGTCAACATTGACAACGGTACTATGGAAGCCGAGTTTTGACAGCCATGTTTTTCAAGATTTGCTTTTTTCCTATAAAAAAAGATTTACATCTATTTTTCACGTATTGAATTATAGCATTAACCCTATTTCATCAATATTTTCTCAAATTTATTATAGACTTTTTGTTGAATGATTTAAGAAGATTTGAGAAGAAAAAACATGAATTTTAAAAAATGACCAAATGGCAGATGCTTGGTTCAATATTTTATGGTGTTAATTTTTCTCGGAATTTCATAACTTGTGGATTTTCTTTTTTATTATTCCTAAGCACTCTCATATACACTGATCAATTCTTCAATCACGTTTGCACGATGTATACGGGTTTTAAGTAGAATTGAATACATCTAATTCAGTAATTCTAAATGGCAGATTCAAGATGGTTGATGATTCCAGATCCTTCTTTGATAACAACTGACGTCATCATGACATCACTGCTATTGTGAAAGATTATTTGTGTTATCGCCTACTTCTTGATTTTGCCAGACTTCTTACTATTTACGTTTTTGTGCTTTGAGGGGAAAAATTGATGAATTTGGATTCTGCCAGAAAATTCAACACTATGACGTCATAATGACGTCAGATTACGTCATTGTGTCAATCACGATATGCCTAGATGTTGGAAATGATGAGTACATTATCCTGTGTAATTTTGTGGCCGTATCATAAGCGGTTTTGAAGTTATAGAGTGGTAGCCTCAGAAGTCTCCCCCCGTTCGCAGGAAGCAACTTGGTCAAAAGATATCTGTTTTTACATGAAGACTGATAAAACCTTTTATGTTTTTCCGTCCACACTTGTTCGATGAAAACACAGTGCAGTGACAGAAAACGTAATCTTTTCAAAACGTTCTCCTGAGCAAAACCAGTTTTGGTACTCAGACTGGGCTAAGCAGTGTCAGTCGTAACTAACTTTTTAGCCAAGAAAACCGGTTAAAAATTAAGGCGCGATATGTGTAGTTTACTATCGAGAAAGTAGGTCAGGTTACACAAGGCCAGAAGCGAGTTCTTTTACTGCTGCGACCTTTAGGGGAAGGTTTCAATAGGGTTAACAGTCAGCCGCCAAACGGCCTAAAATTGAGATTAATATATAGTAACCATCAAAACGTTTTGAGGTATTTCAAGTCTCACTATTTCAGCTGATCATCACGGGCTTTTGGCTCCTGAAGAATCTCTTCACTTGAAAATCCACTGGCCATGTTATATAAAAAAAATTGTCTCTGAACATTACAAGACCTTACAATTTTCCTGTATCTTTTAAAATATTTGGAAATTTTATATGTGAACGGTTCAAAGCAACCTCCAAAACACAATAGTTAAAAATTAATTTATACAGAAGTTATAATTAATATTTACTTTAACTCGTGAACTAAATTTTCACTAAATAACCGTCTAAAGCCCTAAAATTTAGCCGTCCACCGTCAAAATTGAACTGACTGAAAATTAACCGTCAGCCGTCAAAGCTACAAATCCACTCTGACCCTCTTACAGCTTCTCAATTACCTCCACGCCTTGCCCACTGAATGTAAGTTCCAACGCCATCAAAGGTTTTTATTTTTTGTTGCTCTTCTTCTTTTGAGGAAAGAAAGAAAAGACCGCAAGACAAGCTGATGTATACTGGTGATATATAAATACTCTGTAATGCTTACCCTTAGGTAAATGCAAGCATCTTCAAGGATCTCTTCCTCGGTGACAGGGCCTGATGCCAGAGCATCCATTTCCGCTTGCCATCCTTTTTTAGTGCACCTCATGGCAACTTCAAAAGCAGATTGAACCGTACTGCTTTCAGCAGAAACTAAAACCATAGCAAAAGCGATGGAGAATATCGCTGAAAACATGTTGGACAGACTACAAAAGAAATAAAACTTTCAGTAAAAAGTTTTTTAAAAAAATATGCTTACGTTGTACTTATGATCAACAATACGGCATATAACGCAACTGGGATGTCAAACATACTTCACTGGTTGCAGTCACGTTTTGTTATCTTTTCTCTTTTATACTGAAAAACTACACAAAAGGACAAAAAGGATGAAGAATATACAATTCAAGAAAGCTTTCCTGTGACTCACATTTGACTATGATAACTAGTAGTTTGAAAAGCTCGCCTAAAATCTAGAACTTGACCAGCAAAATGCTGAACTCAGCAAACAAACAATCATATAAATGCCAAATAAAGGTGCGCAAAAAAAATTACGACAAGCAACGGCAGTCCACTTCATTTTGTTTTATTTTGCCAATTACTCGCCCTCAATCGCTATGGAACTGAAAGTAGGCAAAGAAATTACATGTAAATGACAAAATCAGAGATTAGAGACAAACAAATATGTCCCCTGAGCGTTATTTTTGAACCTGCAAACAGCAGAGATAAACTTTGAAAAACTGTCAGTCAGGCTGAACAGTTTTCAAAAACCCCAATTTCAATCCGTTTCAATATTCTTCAGTTTTGTCCATCCGTGGCAGCTCTTGTATCTGCTGCGTTATTTTAACCTTCCTTTAACGTTTTAAACGGTTATTTTTATGTTTCTTTTAATTCAACGAGTATTTTGCAATAACCTAATTTGGCTGAATTTCGTGACACAGCTCTTTTAAGAGACCTACAATTTACCCATTGTTTTCAATTCAGGTTTGTTTGCAGGATATTTTTTCTTAATCATTTAGCCCCTCCATCTAAAGGTGTCTGGTGCCGAAGGCTCTTAGAGATGCGAAGATTTCTTTCTATTTTTTTGTGGCTTAGAGTTCATGTTATTATTTTAATTTGATTGCTTTTATCATAAGTATAGAAACGGAGGCCTCGCTTTTAGCCCTGACTAAATCTATATATTATTTCTTTAATGTGACCCTATCAGTTTTGACGGAAACCAAAGGCCACGGGTATTTCAAAATCGAAATGCTGAAATATATGTTTGGTTGCCTCTGCTGATCTACGAGCAGTCTGATAAATGAGGAACGTCAGTATTGCTGCATGGAAATTTGAGAAAGAAATCACATTTCTGTTATACAAGAATTGAATTTAAAAAAAACTACAATAAAATAATAAACCGTCATCAAGCTCAACCTTGCAATAGTCACAAAAAAGAATTCCGAAAAAATCTTCTGATAAATAGTCGTTCGTGAAAACTCCTTCGTGCATGGAAACCAGAGAAAGAAACCACATTTCTGTTATAAAAAATAAAATTTAAGAAAAGAAAAGGGTACTGAAACCGTCATCAAGCTCAACATTGCGATAGACAAAAAAAAAGGATTCCGAACAAATTTGCTGATATAAACTCATTAGTTAATTTCTTTGTCGTTGTAAGAAACACTGTCCATACCTGAACGAGACCAGCAGGATCGTAGCTTTGAAGGACTTTGCGTGTTTTGAGCGTTAGTTTGTACTGTTAACAATATTTTAAAAAAACTAAACATGATTCTGCACTGTCATTGACATCATTGCCACCAAAAATGATTTGGTCAGCTGTCGATCTATGTAAATAAATAATTTGCAGTAAAAAACGATAAGGAGGCTTTTTTAAGGTACTAAGGTGATGCCTTTTTTGCGAAAGTATTAGGGCGAATAACATGAATTTTGTAAAAAGTTTTTTACTCCACAGACTCTACAGAGATAAGGCAAAAGAGAGAGCTGTTCCTTCCATCATTCCTAGGCCTGCATTAAACACTTTAAGATAAAATACTAAATAAAAACGCTAATACATTGATTTGTCTACGTAATTAATCTTGGCCCCAGTATTGAAACTGGAGAGCCAGTTGTTAAAATAAATCCATCACTCGACGCATTTTGGAACGTAATTGTTTTTAAAATACCTTCGTACGTTATCAGTATCATGAAAATGCGATTTTCGTTCGACCTCATTTAAGGTGGCCCGAACGTATTCATCTGCGGGTTGGTTATGTTTTTCAATCGCGTTTTTCGGCAGCAAAGATTTGACCAATTTCTATTATTTCTTAAGTCCTTAACAAAGAATGGTCGAACTTTAAGAAACTGTTATTTATTTTCTTGTAGGTATAAAAACATTTGAGATATCGGCATATGTTGAAAACCACATTTTTTTCTTCTTGTATTGCGAACCGTATTCGCCGTAGGTTTCTGATTACTCGGTTTCTTGCAGCTGAAGCTTTGGGCGAGAATATCATTGCAGATTGGAGGTAGTCCGTCGGCAGTTTTCCTCTACTTGCGTGTCAACTTTCACAAATGTGTTAGCGTTGCATTTTAAGGTTAAATTTGACCAGCTATTTGTGCAGCGAGTTCTACGATCACGATTGACTTCAAAATTGCAGATGTAAAACTAGAGAGCTCTCAGGCTTAATTGCTGAAGTTAGAGAAAAATCTATCTTAGGGTTTCGAAGTTATTGACATTTTTTATAAAAATGCGGTTTTAAACGCATGCCAATATCTAAAACGTTTTTATACCTACAAGAAAATAAATAACAGTTTCTTAAAGTTCGACTATTCTTTATTAAGGATGCCAAAAATCTTAGAAATCGGTTAAATATCTCCTGCCGAAAAACGTGATTCAAACACATGATCAACACGCATAAAAATAGGTTCGGGCCACCTTAACTTTGATCCTTGATTTCAATTTAATTTATTAACGCAACCGCCAAAAATAAAGCCAATTTGAATTGCGTCGAGTGTCAGGTTACATCATGCATTCGCGGGGTGGTCTCTCACTTGAATTGCGTCGAGTTTCAGGTTACATCACGCATTCGCGGGGTGGTCTCTCATTTGCTGTGTTTCCTCCAAAATCGATTATGAACTCAATGTGGACCTGCACGCTGTCATAGTTATGGCTAGTACGTAACTGTCTATGCTTTTAAATTAATCAATATTATTTAGATACTGGTGTTTACACATCGTTACTGAAGACTTCCGGTTATCATCATCATCATTATTATCATTATAGAGCTTGCAACTACGTCTCTGGAAATTGAATATCTGCATAGAAAAAGTCGATGCGAAATGCTGATTGGCGAAGATGACATTAGTAATGACGTCATCACCCTCGGCACGCGTCTTTCAATGTTTGTTTATACTGGCGCTCGTTTCCGCTTCGCGCTGATTGGCAGAAATCTGACAGCTCAGTCGACGGGGAGTCACAGAGAACTGGAGGTGAAGTTCAAATTCCAGGGACGTAGTTGCAAGCTCTCCTCTCGCACCGAAGAGCTTGCCCTAAGGCTCGATTATCATTTTCATGATTATCATGATTGTACTTAATAAATGGTAATGGATAAAAGTGCCAACCTTCTAATGCTAAAGATCGTTTTACTCACGTGGCTAGTGGCTATAAAAACTTATTGCCCCCAAAGAAACCGTTCACATTACCCTGCGAACAGAGTCTCCTTCGATCTTCCCAGATAAGTCGACTTATATCTAGGAAAAATCGAAGCGGCTCTGCTAGCAGCGTAGGTTCACATGAGAAATTAGCCCCCACAGGATTGGTTTGGAACACCAACATGGCCGCCATTTTAATGTTTTGGAGCACCAATATGGCGAACATGACGTCATGTGAAAAGGCTCTCAAGTTCGTGGGGCGATTTGTCGGTCCTGATGGTTCATTTTCTCTAGACTCTTCTAGTGTGAATACTTGGCAAATTTAAAATGTCTACGTGCACATTTTGTATACATTACGTTTGTGACTGTCTAATTTTGGTTTTGTTTACTTGTTTTTAAGTTCAAAACAATAACAAATTCCAGCGGGTAATTACGACGGCTAGCTATATGAGTATGTTGCAAATGAATCCATCCTAGCGGATTATATTTAAATATTTTTATATAGGGACCCGGTGTGAGTGCAAGTGTTCGAATGCAAGGTCTCGACCTATTCAGGCACCTTGTCCAAATTCTGGCGTGGGTACGAGAAAATAGGGTGCGTGCACATGGGTGCCAAGTGAGTACCGTACTTGGGCGTCGTGCCTGTCACAAAGTGTTAACATATCGTGAGAGTGAATTTTATCATAGTGTACTGTCTTTCGCACTCATGGTGTAGAATGGTATAGTCTTTCCACCAGGCCCCAGTTGTTCAAACGCTGGATAGTGCTATCCAAAGGATAAATCACTATCCAGTGATTAAGTATCAGGGGAACCAATTGCGCTATCTGTTGGATAGAGATTTATCTGGCCCCATTTGTTCGAAAGGTGGATAGCGCTATCCACTGGATAAATCACTGTTCAAAGGGTAGCGTAATTGGTTTCGTAATACTTATCCTCTGGATAGCGATTTATCCGATGGATAACGCTATCCAACTTTTGAACAACTGAAGGAAGAAATTCAAAGGACGCTAAAGCAATTACACTCCAGGGTGCCTCCAAGGCTGTTTAAAACATCGGTCATAGACAATGGACTCAGAGACAAGGGCCCTTTTGTTCGAAAGGTAGATAACGGTATCCACTGGATAAATCTCTTTCCAGTAGGTAAAGCAATTCATTTCCCTTATATTTATCCGCGGGATAATGATTTATCCGATGGATAGCGCTATCCGACGTTTGAACAACCGGGTGAAGGAAAACAAATTCTCTCTGCCTAATCCGAGAACTGATTTTGTTTTAAACCCATTTTGGGGGGCACCATTGTGATAAATCTTCCACGGATTGTCAGAGCCATCTTTAAACTAAGAGTTGTTGTGGTGTGATAGCTGCGATTTGCAAATGAGCCACTCGCTCTTTCACTCACTCCCTTATCTGTAGACATGTTCGTAATTAGATTAGCCCAACGAGAGCGAACTATAGCGTGTTTTCACATGACGTTACGGCGGCCATATTGGTGTCCCAAAACAATGAAACGGCGGCCATGTTGGTGTCCTAAACCAATCCTGTGGGAGTTGAACTCTTTTCTTATGCAAACGATGCTGGCCACGTGAGTGAAAACACTCTATATGAAAACGACAGTTCTCGTAGAAAGCAACTATATACTTACGGATACATCAAAAACCATGTGCTTGTCAAACTATTTGTGGACACTCTTTGGCTCTGAACTCGAGAGACCTGTCCGATTTGAAAACGACATATTGTCCATGTTGCCAAAGTGCGCTGTAATCTTTAAAGCACTTTAGGAGTGCGTTAGTTTACGCAACCTTATGAGACAACCCTGCAACGCATTTGTCACTCACGGTCGCTGCGATCTAAGGCCTTTCTGAGTAAGGATCAGTACTTGGTTTTGATTCTACAGATGGCGTAACGCTCACGAGTATCTTGATCATGCATGAGCCCTGGTACCGTTTAAATTTCCAGACAACCTGACAAAGGAAGAACGATGCCGATAAGTCGCGCTATTTCTGTGGTTTATCGTTCTCACCCCAAACTACCCAGTCATTCTAGCGAAGAATGGATTACAGTCTGCGCCAAAACCGCCTCATGTAAGAGAATCCGATTCTGGAATCCGGGAAATTTTTGTTTCTTCTATCCGGAATCCTGGGCTTTTTTGAATCCGGAATACAAATAAAGGAATCCAGAATTGGTCTGTGTATAATCACCCGATTTCCTTTTACATTTGAATCTTGTTTTTCAGTGAGGCGGATCGTACACGGGTGTGTACGTAGTGTACTTCGGTGCATTATTGTTTTTATATAGTCATCGTTGCAACCTTAGCAATGTTACTTTGTTTTGGTGATGCCCCCTTCCATCTTTTATTTAATATGTACATTTCTCTTCTCCAGATGACTCCATCAATAATATCAACCCACCCTCTACTCCAAGTAGGCGAAAATCGGTTTTAATACGACCCAGTTTTGGATCCTGCAAGGCCCAGTAGAAAAGAAACATAATTTACCTTAAATTAAAAGTGACATATTCAAAACTCTTAATTTATTGTGACTGACAAGTCAGTGTAATGTGTATATTTATAGAATTCAGTTGATGCCGTGTTTGCTTGTTCAACGGTTTCCCAAGATCGCCTCTTACTTGTTCTTCGATCCTCTTTTCATTGTAAATAAGATTAATGATACATACCGATGTATCCATACCCTGTATACCAACTTTATGTAAGAGTATTCAAGTATAGCAGCAGGGTTTTTTAAATAATATATTTGAAGATCTTAACTGAAAGAAGAAAACTGAATCCAAGTTTGGGTAACAACCATTCGACTTTTGAGAGGAAAATACTTTGAATAGAAAAACTTACATGGAGGTAAAATATGTATATTTACAAGTTTAGGAAAAAAAATATTCGAATCCGTTGATGAACAGTACGAGTATTGGGAGGCATTACTAAATAAGATCGTTGATGATCATGTACCTACCAGGGACATGAAAGTGAGGGCACATAATGTACCATACATGACGAGAGAGTGGAAAAATGCAATTAAAGCTAAAAGACGCTTCTCAAAAAAATTCAGTAAACATCCCACACCAGAGAATTTTGAATTGAAGAGGAAGTGGCGCAATGAGGCCACCAAGGAAAGAAGAAAAGCAATCAGGCAGTATTGGAAAAAAGTATCAGATAATGTCAAGTCTGATCCTAGAAAGTTCTACAGAACGTTTAGACCATTCACTGATTTCAAGAACAAACAGGGAAGCAGCGGTAATATCTGCTTGAAAGTTAATGATGTGTTGGAAGGGGATCAAACCAAAGTAGCTAACCACTTTGCTAATTTTTTCTCTACAATGGCTGATGGAATTGGAGGGGACCACGTAAATGACTGTGCGGAAAGTGATTTCATGAATCACAACTCTCTTCTCAATATATCGACTTATCTCAATAAGAGAGATCTACAAGTAAACCACTTTGAATTTAACGAAATTACCTGTGAAGAATTACGAAAAGTCATGAACGACCTAAACCCCAATAAGTCAAGTGGATATGACGGGATGGACCCTAAGATCCTTAAAGTAGGCGCCACTGAGTTAGCTCCATCTCT